CAATGAACAGTACATACATGTGAATTTTTAAGAAATATGTGTAGTATATTGTATGTATGTATTTTCATGCAATATATTGTGTATGTACAAACTGTAACAATTCTACCTAATAAAACTGAAAAATAAAAAAAACCCCACAACCCTTAATTTCAAATTCTAAATAATGGGCCATTGCTACCAGAGCCTGTTTCCTACTGTGTAACAGTAAGCTTGTTATTGGGCTATGAAGAAACAGGGCCTTATTATTAAATTTTTTAACTTGGACGTGGTTTTGGGTAGCTTACTCCAAAAAATTTTTAAATTCTGCCACATTTGGATAACATGAAAGTCTAGAAACCTAATGCCAGGTCACACTGTTCTATGAACTTTCAAGTATTTTAACCAAAAGGAAAGTCCTATATAAAGCCTATACTATAAATGAACTTCATGAAATAACTTCTGTAATGTTTTATATTCTGCATAACATTGAGTGAATCACTTGGACAACAGTGTGCAGGAAAAGGAAGCTAAAAATATTACCAGACGTTACCTCTGCTTCCTTAGAGTGAGCTCTACAATTATACTGCAATAGCACACAATTTTGCTATCCTCAGGCAGACTTATAATTTTTTAAATGACCTTCAAATGAAGGTATAAAAATTCAACCTAGTATTTCCAGAATACTTTTGGGGGGAAGGAGGATGATCTAGCAGAAGAAACATAATCCCTAGAACTACTTGGATTGGGGTTCAACTTCTGATGCTTCCACTTATTAGGCGTTAACTGTATTACTTAACATCTTTTAATTTTGGTTTCCTTATTTATAAAACGTTTATAATAAAGATATCAAATGTTGTAGGGGCTACTATTATATATGAGATTCAACTGCACATACAAACCTAACACTATCAGGCTTATAAAACACACCCTATCCTGTGTAACACACCAAATAAATGCTTCTGAAAAAAATACCATTGTTAACCTCTTAACTATAAGTACTACACTTTACTACGCAGATCCTAGAAGTTTATTAATGACATAAATATGAAGTTAATGGTATTTTTATGGGTTCAATAAAAGCAACAAATTTTTTAGAAGAAATCTGCATAAGCAGACAATTCTGGGCCTGCACATTTCCCCTAGTAGTCAGCAAGCAGGTTCTTCTTCCATTATGAGATATGTCCTTTCTGATTCGCTCCCTCCATCCTCAATCCCCAATAAAAACCTCTTAATCACACTAAAATTTTCTTCTGGCAAATTTTCTTCTAGCTCCACTACTAATGCCATGTCAATGACAAACAAGGGCTATTCATACATAAGTATACAGAAGCAAGAAACATACTAGGTAAGATGAAATTGAAAGGAAATAGCCATAGACTACATTATTTTCCACACTCATTACATTATGTATAAGATAGGAAGTTTCATAAATACTGCATCTTGTAGGTCTACTATATTTAATGGTATAGCTGTGTTACCAGCCTGCCACTCTGGAATAAGAATGCCTACCCTCGCAGAGGTGATGGAAAATGAAAAGAACACGTATAAAGATCTCGTACAAAAGTGTTGGTCTCCTTTGCTCATGTCACATTTATCGAATGCTAAAAATTGTTTTTATATGTGCATTCATGCTATGCTGCTTTCGTTTCAGTTCTCAATATATAGATCTGTACACTAAAAAAAAAAAGTGTTAGGGACCACATGGCTATTTGTAAACTTGTTCACAATAGCATTATTTGTAGTAGCCAAAAGATGGAAGCAACTTATTCTTTGACAGATGAATAAACAAAATATAGCATGTACATACAATGGAATATTTTTCAGCCTTAAAAAGGAATGAAGTTTTGATACATGCTCAACATGGATGAACCTTGAAAGGATTATGCTAAGTGAAATAAGCCAGACACAAAAGGACACTATGATTCCACTTATATGAAGTACCCAGAATAGTCAAATTTATAGAAACAGAAAATAGCATAGTGGTTACCAGGGGCTGGGTGAAGAGAAGAATGGGTAGTTATTGTTTACTGAGTACAATGTTTCAGTTTGGAGTAATGAAATAGCAAGTGAACACTTAGAAGTTGTTAAAATGGTAAATTTTCTATGTATATTTAACCTGTATATTTATGTATATTTAATTTTTTCAAAAAATCATGCTTGTTACAAGATGTACATACTAATGAGACAGTATATTTGATCAACTGGGTGTGGCTAGGACCTCTGGGTGAAAACCAGCGAGGAGGTAGATTCCTGAGAACTAGACTTGGGTCCTGGGGGTGAAGGGATCAGAAGGCGTGAAGTCAAGAGCTACCTTTACAATCTGACTTTCCTGGAAATAGATTTTAATCCTGGGCCTGTTCTCTCCAAATCACCCTGTTTCTGTATTTTTATACATTCACTGTGTTTTGCTTCCAACAGAGGTTGTTTCAGTCCTTCTCCCATCCCTATCCTAAAAGTAAAAACCTGGATGTTGTAAGGCAGTGGTTCTCAACAGGGGGTGATTTTTGCACGCCAGGGGACATTTGGCAGTCTGCAGACATTTTTAGGCTGTCACAACGGGGCAGGGGACAGTGGCTACTACTGGCTGCTAGCAGGTATAGGCCAGGGATGCTGCTAAACTCCCCACAATACACAGGACAGCGTCTCACAACAAAACACCAACAATGCTGGGTTGGGAAATCCTGTTCTAAGGTCTTGTCCTAAGGTTTTGCTAAGTTGCTTGATTTCTGGTAGAAACTGATCACAAATTAAAAGTTAACCTCTTTTGGAAACTCTAATTTGAAAAGATACATGCACCTCAATATTCATAGCAGCACTAGTTACAATAACCAAGACATGGAAGCAACCTAAATGTCCACTGACATGACTGAATAAAGAAGCTGTGATATATTTATACAATGGAATAAGGTGCCATAAAGAGGAATAAAACAATGCCATTTGCAGCAACATGGATGGTCCTGGAGAATGTCATTCTAAGTGAAGTTAAGCCAGAAAGAGAAAGAAAAATACCATATGATATCACTTACATGTGGAATCGAAAAGAAGGACACAAATGAACTTACTTACAAAACAGAAACAGACTCACACAGAAAACGAACTTGTGGTTACCTGGGGGAAGCGGGGGAGGGTGGAGGGGTAAATTGGGAGTACTACCTACTGTATATAAAATAGATAAGCAGCAAGGTCCTACTGCACAGCACAGGGGACTACATTTGATACCTTGTAATGGCCTATAATGAAAAGTGGGGGTGGGAGAGAGGAGGCTATTTATGCTGCCATTTTCTTCACCCCGGCCAGTCCTATCCATGGTACTCTACGCCATGAGACAAGGTGCAGAACAGAAAAGGATGAGCTGTTAGGGACGGAGAGTTAAAAAAAAAAAAAAATTCAAGTGAAACCAGCTGCAGGCAGTGCCTAGCCTACCTGGATTGGATAGTTTTTCCCAGTGGCCATTGGGATATATGAGGAAGTTTCTATGTATCCAAATAAAGTTATAACAAAAAAATTTTTAATTCCATTAAAAATTTAAATCATGGATTTTCTACAACTAAACATACTATTTATAAACTCAACATACTAATTATGATTACCTAAAACTTGCATTTCTTCTGAGGATCTAATGAATGCATTATACCTGTGTCAGTAACAAGAACAAATACTTTTGCTTTTATTTTCCTCTGGCATGATATTAAATAACAGACCTGCGGTAGCAAGTATAACTCATTTGGTGTAATTTAGGTATTTCAAGACACTCATTAACATTCTCAGGCCACCAGACCAGTAGGGTGATTCATTTTATAGTGTACATTAAAATGATGCCTTCTTACACTTTGGAAAACTGACAGTACTTACTAAACACCAAATACATGCATACCCCATGACCCAGCAATTCCACTCCCGGATATATATTCAAACAGAAATGCATATTTACACACTCACCAAAAGACACATATAAGAATGTTCTCCATAGTATTATTCATAATAGCCCAGAATTAAAAAATTCTCAAATATCCATCAATGGTAGAATGGATAAATAAATTCTGCATATAATAAAAAATGGATAAATTCATGAAACACTATTCAGCGATGAGAATGAATGAACGACAAACACATGCAACAATATGAAAGAATCTCACTCTGGAAGGTTGAATAGCACCTTAAGATATCCAGGGTCAAAGCCCTGGAACCTATAAACATTACTTTTTATGGCAAAAGAGACTTGGTGGATGTGATCAAATTAAGGATCTTGAAATGGGTTATCCAGGTGGGCCCTAAATGGAGATGCAGAGGAAAATCTGACCATAAAAGAAGAGATGATGTGATGATAAAAGCAGAGACTTTGAACGTGGAGGAGGGACCCACAAGCCAAGGACTATTGGCAGCCAATGGAATCCAAAAAAAGACAAAGAAACAGATTCTCAACTCACAATTTCCAGATTCATGAGCCAACTGTGACTTCTGCCTAATGAAACTGATTTTGGACTTCTGATCTCCAGGACTGTAAGAGAACAAATTTGTGCTGTTTTAAGTCACTAAGTTTGTGGTATTTTGTCACAGTGGCATCAGGAAACCAATACACTCACAAATATAATGATGAGTTAAAAAAGTGTATCACGTATGACTGCATTTACATAAAAAAAAAGACACATAAAACTACGATTTTAGAAGTCAGAGTAATAGTTACCTCTGGGGAGGAAGGAGAAGATAACGTTAAGATGGGGCCAAAGGCAGGCTTCTGTGATGCTCATAATACTCTGTTTCTTGATCTGAGGGCTGGCAAAATGAGTACGCTCAGTTTGTCAGAACCCTTATTTGTGTACTCTTCTATATGCATGGTGTATATAATTTTAAAAATTGATGCCTTTTCAACACTTATCAATCTGACGGTCTGCTAAAAAAGATAGACATATATTCAAGGAGGTGGGGAAAATGCTTACTAAACATAACTTTATTTCTCAAGAACCTTAAAGATTTTTGTTTCTCTCTCCAAAAGATTTTAAAAATCTCAACAACAGACAGAATATAATAGTGAATTTTAACTGCTGGAAAATAAGCTAGAAGTAACATTGCTTAACTAGCTTTGTTATGCTTGCATCCTAGGACTGTAAATTACAAAAATACGAGAAAAACCATGTTTTCTGAAGCAACAGTAAACAAAGGAGAAAGTCAAGTACTATACACCAAATGATCAAAATGTCTTTTGGGCCTAAGATTCTGGAGACTAGTAAAAATGGTAATAACTGAAATGTCATGCCATTAATCTGTACAGATCATTAAATATAAAAAACAATGTATAAAACACATCAGATTTTATTGCTTGAAGAATACAGCATATGAAATCACAAGAATGTCAAAATGAAAAGTCACTAGGATTCAAACATTTAATACATTATCAGATGCAGTAAAATATTAATTAACCTGAACTCTGCATCAGAAAAAAAAGGTATGGAAAAATATCTAAGTTGTTTACTTAAGAAACATATACACTTAAAATAGAAAGTGTAAGGTGTTACAGTACAAATTAGAAAAGCCGACACATAACTTACTACTTCTTAGACTAGACTACCTTTGGTACTTAAACTTTTTAAAAAACAATCCCTTCTATCTTGTCCAAACGCACTTCATGGATACAATGCCAGTTTCAACTCAAAACGTTCAGCAAGAGTCACCTATTTGTGGCATGGAGGAAGCGTGACAATATTTCACTTTTTCTAAAACTGCAAAGTATGATCATTAAGAAATCTAATACTTGTAAACTTTACTTACTTATCAGCTCTTCAATTAAAACTGGAATCCCAGCAGCCGCAGTCTATCTTTGGGCTTGATGGATATAGAAATTTAAATGATTTGGCAACTGACATAGATTTAGATTACTTCATACTATCTTAAGCGGCTTTTCCATTCTGTTTCTAAAATACAAATAATATGCCATTTCTTCAACACACCAAATTCCCTAAAAATCACTACCATACTTTATTTATTAGAACCAAATTAAAGCTTCTTGCATTTAATGAGCAGGTTGAAAACTACTTATGTTTCATATAGGGCTGATCAATCATGACACGCTTTCTTAAACAGAACAAAACCAATCATTTTTAAAGCTATCACTCAATTAAGATGGAGACAATGATGCCATTTCAAAAGGAAGCACTGGACACTCTAGGCCATCTAGTCAAGAAACTGCAGGAGTAATGCTAAAAACAAACAATAAGTAAACTATAACTACAAGTTAAATTACAAGAAAAAAAATTCCTCTTTTACAGCAAGCATGCTCATTAACTTTCACTTCTTTCCCGAGCAAAGGTTTGAATATTCATGAACCTCAGTTAAACCAACGGAACCCAAGCAATTGTTTCACAAGTTCCAGTAAACATGGATGGACTAAGCAAGTAATACTATTAACAATTATTGGAGTGAAATACTAAGAATTAAGACAGTCCTCAAAGCTGGGTAGCCTCTGAAATGCAATCGTGTAGCTCAAGATGAATTATGCCATAATAAAACTGCGGTTTTTACCTCTACACAGAACAAAAACAAAATAAAAAACATAACCTACCAAATTTTACACCTACTACTGAACACACTCCTTCCTAATTTTTGAATGTCTTGTTTTGGGATTTTCTTTTTTAAACAAGTATATTTATCTGAGCATATATATATTTATTGCCTGTATATATACTCATTTTAAAAGACAAAAAATTCAGATACTATAGAACTGAACTTTGTTTTTTCACCAACCTGATCTAATGTCTACTCCATCACACAGCATCCCCTCCTCAATAATTTAAAATTCCCAATTTTTAGTTTAGTTAAAAGGGCAGAGGAAATGCAAATGCAGATTTAGAGTTTCTGTATAAATTTCACTGTATTTTTATAAACTTGAAGTTTTCTGTAACACTGTTTATTGATCAAATAAAGGACTCACTGCTATCTAAAATTTCATAAACACCATTAAAAATTCAAAATTGATATTATACTGAGCCTTAAATTTTCAATAGTTCAAAGAGACATTTTTTACACGAACAGCGCACAATAGATGAAACTCAACAGCAGACATCCCTAGAATACCAATGGCAAGTCCACCCAGACGCATACGCAGTTACAGATAAGCACTTCCTTCATGGTCTCTCGTACAGGGAGAAACACCGACAGAAGCAGCAGAAACTCGGCCGGTGAGTCTCAGAGGTCGTCTTCTTCCTCCTCGTCCTGAGAAGACCCCGCCTGGCTGGACGCGCCCGCTGAGGCAGCAGCCAGCTGCGCCTGCTGGGCCGCCTGCTGCATCTGAAGCCACTCCTGCTGGGCCAGCTCCGCTTGCTGCTGTCGAGCCTGAACACCAAAAGTATAAAAACAAATTAAAAAATTTTAAAACCCTACAATGTGCACGCGGTTAAATGTATATTAAGCCAATTGCAAACTTAAGTCAAGGCCAAATTCGGATATTTTCCAACCACTACATAGTTGCTGCACATCAGGACAACATGAACTCTGTAAGAAAATACAGGTAAAGATTACTTCTCTGTCAACTCACTTACAGAGAATTTTCAAAAGTCTCCACAAAAGTTTCCCATGAAAGTTTTCTTTTTATTTCACATGGTGGTTCAAACGAAGAAGCTAAAGAAGTGTACAGAAAAACCATAATATTTTCTCTTTGGTAACTTTTTCCTGCGTTTCTCCCTCTTTTGTTTCACTTCATTCTTCTGTCCTCTCAACCTACAATTTTGACATAAACATTTTCAATTTAAAAATGATTTCTGTGGTTTAAAAGTTCTCTAGTACAGTACCTGTAACTGTTAGGGGAAAGCACTGTACATGAATGCAATAGCTATCTTGATACTTCTTTCAAGTTTCTATCAGTTCCCTACCTTATAGATACCTTTCTTCCTCTGTCCCTCTCCCCTCTCTCTATAAATACACACACACACACACACCCTTCCCATATACACACCAGTGGAAACACACTCATCCAGCACTGAATTTAAGTGGGATAGTTAAAATCCATTAATCTGAAATATTCCCTATAAAAACCACCACAGGATTCAAGAAGCCAAGATGCAAACATACGCATTACATGCACTGTTGCAACAGCACGGCCCCTTCTCAATTTATATGCCCTGTTGTATGACCCAATTTAATTTCTTTCTTTCTTTTTTTTTAAGATTCCACCTATGAGTGATATCATATGGTATTTTTCCTTATCTTTCTGGCTTACTTCACTTAGAATAACAGTCTCCAGGTCCACCCATGTTGCTGCAAGTGCAATCATTTTATTCTTTTTTATCACTGAGGAGTATTCCATTGTATAAATACACCACAACTTCTTTATCCAGTCATCTGTCGATGGACATTTAGGTTGTTTCCATGTCTTGGCTACTGTATATAGTGCTGCTGTGAACACTGGGGTGTATGTATCTTTTCAAATTAGAGTTCCCTCCAGATATATGCCCAGGAGTGAGATTGCTGATCACATAATAACTGGGGGAACAAGGGAAGAGGCTGGAATTTTAAAAACTTAGAAGCTTAGAGGAGCAACCCAGGGAACTGAAACTTAGACTTCTGAAGAAGGGCCCTAGACCATCTGGTACTAGCATCTCTGAGCTTAGAGGGCGGCCCCACGGTTTGAGACCCACATTCCTGAGGAAAGGGATGCATGTGCAGGCTGGTTCTGTAAGTGCCAGAGAAACTGCAAACCAGACTCAGCTCCTGCTACAGGTGAAAACTGTTGCAGCCAGGATGAAGAAGCTCAAAGGAGCCTGAAGCCAACCGGAAGAAAAAGGAGTAAGTGCCTCCTCATCAGCCTTGAAATACCCTCTAGAGCCCCCTACTGGCAGCAGAGTCTAAGGGACGTCAACTAAAGCAGAAATGTGGTTCGCAGAGTACTGGGCCCAGTGTCAAAGTGGAGCACAGCTGAGACAGCTGCGCAGGAACCGGAACACTTCCACGCCACTAACGTCTAATGTGATGTCTCTGTACTTGGGGATTGCTTTAGATCTTCCTCGTGAGAGTAGTCAGGCTTCATATTACAGTTTTTAGTGTACCTATAATTATACCTCCCCTACAAGACAAAAGCTTTTTTCGTGTTTATTTAGGAAATTAAAAACCAAGTGTTCCAATAACTACTTCCATTCATTTTTATAAAGGAATACGGAAAATACTTCGATAACACACAGGCATATTTACTTTTATGGCATGAATACCCAGAGTTCAAAATAGACTAAGAGTATTTCACAGAAAATACTTGAAAATTGTAGGGCAAACCAAAACTATCAATTTAGTCAACTTAAGAATATCTACTCTGTAGCCTAATCAATCATAACGGGGTATAATTTCGGGGCACAGAAAAATAATTCAAATAATTTCAAGCCGCTACACAGGTCTTACTACCAAGTTGCTTTATCTGGTAGTTTATTCAATGATCTGGAAAGATATGCACTGCTTACATTTAGAACTTAACTGACATTTAGATACCACGGCCCCGTACTGGCTCCCATACTTCTCTTTCTGAAGGATGTTTTTATAAGCATTCTGATGGCTTTAAAATCAATGTTGATGGTAAATATTATTTGTATTCATTTCCACAAATTAAAATTTTCAGTGGTACTTATTCTAATTTCTTTTTCCCTCTCTTGCCTCTTACCCAATCCATCCCAAATATTTTCCTTCTAAAATGGAAAAGTGAAAAAGAGGTAAGTAGGCGTGTACTTCCTAATTCACTTTTTCTGCAGATTTTCATTATGTTTTAAGATTCCTACTCCCATATACTAAAATGACTCATTTATAATTTACGCTTAAGTTTAATCTCAAATTAGTAATGGTTCTTCTCCCCCAAATATTTGTTGCTAGCAGATAAAGACAGCTTCAAATGAGGCTGCTATTATGTTAGTATTTAAAATAAAAGTCTAAATGATTAAGTGAAATGAAAGTGATGAAAAAGATGTTATAACTTAGTTCCTTTTATATTTAAGACTTAAGTACTTTGTGCTCCAGGAAAAGCACTAAGGAGTATCTATAATTTTACTTCTATGCTAATTTTTCTCACAAGAGCAAAGAAATACTAGGGTATTTTCACCCGCAGGATAGAGAAAGAAAGAAGGGAGGTAAGAAAAGGGGAAAAACAAAACAGATGACAAGGGCAGAGGGGTGAGGACAGATTTGGCAGGCAGTCAACTATTTCTTTCATTCATCTTTTTGCCCTGGAAAGGATAAAGCATACTCTACTTAAAAGTTCCAAAATAAATTTAAGCAAACAAAATGGTGGCTAGAGCATTAGCATGGTGTTATAGAAAGAGTACAGGTTTTGGAGTCAGAAGATGAGTTTGAATTTAGACTCCAACACTTCCTAATTGTACAAATTTACCCATTTTATTTGTTTAAGTTAATCCTTCCCAGTAAACTAAGCCACATAATGACAGGAACCATCTCTCTTTTCTATACTCTTATAAGCCTAGCAACTCACACTATATCTGGTGAATAGCGAAGACTTCAATAATATCTGTAGAACAAATGATCGCATGCAAGTTTCTCCATCTCTGCGTTTGTTTCTTAATGAGTAAGTGGGTATAATAAAATTTATATTATTTATAAAAGCTCTGCAAAGTGTGTGAAGTATTTAGCAGATCATCTTTTCACTTTCATTAAATATTTACTTTATCACCTTCTAGGTGATCTGCAATAGCAGAGAATTAATAAATAGCCATTAATTTTTTAAAAAATTATCACTCCTCCTTTGGTACCTCATATTTATATGGATTATAACATTGTTCATGCTTGCCTCAAAAGCTTCTCTTCCTTAGCACCTATCTCATAGGTCACTGTGGGGATTAAATGAAGTATCACTGGAAAATTACCTGGCAACACGATTAACACATGGTTAGAACTCAGTAAATGTTAGTCAGCTTATATCTTTTTTATTAGTTTAAATGGTATCTGATGTCTAGTACTTGATAACACTTAAAACTCAAATTTTTTTAATGTAAATCAAACTAGTTATGACTGCAAAGAGATCAATTATGGTGCCAATCTGGAAGAGATGACCTAAAATCATACTTTCCAGTTCCAATGGTAATTACAGTAACTGGCAGCAAACCTCACCTCTTCTAATCAAATAAAAACTGCCTTGCAATTTCAAATGAGAAGCGAGAACTTTATAGGGAAAGAACAGCTTCACCTTGTCCTCTCTTTCTTTAAAAAAAAAAGGTGTGTAAGTTCTTCAACCTCCTTGAACCTCACAATAATAATTTGGAAGATCAAGGCTGAACTATGTCTCTTCTACCCCTAGAGTTCTGTGACTCCTTGACTCATCAACTCAACTCAGTTACTCATTCAACAAATATTTACTGAATCCTCTCCCTGTGCCAGTTACTATGTTGGGCGGATGCTAGAAATACAATTAATGGGCCCCGCACTCAGGGAGCTTACAGACTAATGGCAGAGACAGACATTTAGAAATGACCACATAGCTCTATTCCCATAATGAAGTAAGTATCTCTATGGAACTGAAACACTCCATATTTTAAATCGTTTTTACCACAGAACCACCTCTGACTCAACGATTTAGGTCTAACTTTCAGGATCTTCTCATTGGAAAGTAAGTCAAATGCTTTATTTTAAAAATGGTTTTTATATATAGACAGTTTGCTTGAGCAGTGTGAGTATTTTAGTAGTATCCAAACACAGACTGAATTATTTTTTAAGCTGTTATCATTTTTCAAGTTCATAACCCCTTGCCCCTGCCTCTGCAGGGGAGGTGGGGAGAAGATACAGAGAAGAAAAGATATAAAATACCATTAAGGTATCTTATCCTCTGCTGATAAATTTAGCCTTGAACAGTGATTTGCATTCTTAGTAATCAGGTTATTAAGCTCTCAGTCTTGTGTGGAGTAAATATTCAGTCACATTCAAGAATCACTGTACTCAGTAACTGCCTTCTGCCCAGCTTCAAGAAACCTGGCAGAGAAGAAGGGAAGGTTAGTCTTTCTCAGCTTCTTCCTCTTGTTCTTGCCCTGCATGCCTGTGTGCACTAGGGCAATGCCCAGTGCACCCCATGCCTGAGTGGGAAGTATTGATGGAGAGTCTTTTTGTGCTGGTGTCTGTCATCAGCATGGGTATGTGTGCCTATTGGTTGTGGTGTCTATTCACTCCATGTGGAAGCTGTACAGTGTGAGCTTCTGCACCCCGTAATCCTCATCCCTAGGTATTTTTATAGGCCACGAGTGCTGCCAGCCTATGTCGCCTCTGTTACAACGCCAAGGCACAGCGAACCACGAGAACATGAAAGTGAGGCACAATAAGCGGTCATCTTTGAAAAATGCAATCGTCCATCGAGAGTGGTTCCAAAATGTGTTACAGAGTTTGCTTCCATTTTGCTACCAAGGGGACCTGGAAGGGAATGAAGAAGGTACCTAGGATTCTGAGGATGGGCTAAGGCAGGACCAGAGGTAACACTGGGGAAATTCTGAGAGGCTAGCCATAAATTCCACCGAATCACAGATCCCTGTGGTCTCTTCCTTTTTTAAAAAAAATAGAAGGATATCAGTACTTATTGCTAATACTTCACAGATTGGGCCTTAGAACTGAAACAAACAAAAAAGGAGAAAAGTTTGCACCCCTTTCTCTGTTCCACTGGCCCTTCGAAGTTTTTTAAGATTAGAATGTTTTAAAGGTGTATTAAAGGCCTAATTTAACTACAAGGTAGATGTTAATCAGATTTTTCTTATATGCCATTCATCTAAAATTTTGATACAAAAAAAACTTGATACAACAATTTCTCACCAGCCCATGATTTTAAACACCTGAAGAATGTTTAGGTATACTTTTCATGCTTTTAAATGGTTATTCTGTCTGAAAAAAAAATCAAAGTAAAATCTCAGTAGTTATTTGGAGTTGTTCTCCTTAGAAAACAGGTTGCTGCAAATATTTACTTTTATATAAAGTAAACAGCTGGCCAAAGAAAAGTCAAGTTGGCCACCAGACCTAACATCAGACTCTTTGATCAAACCATCAGTCACAGAAAGAAAAATCTCTGGGTACGAATGCTGACTTAGGAAAGGATTTCATGAACCAGTATGATTTCTGTTAGCAAAAAGGGTGGGATTCACATGAAAATCATTTAAAATGCATTACTTACTTTTGCAAATAATTCCTGTTGCTGTCTCAATAACTCTTCTTCAGGAATGCCAAGGTTTTCCAAACGAGAACTGGCCTTTCTTCTTTTTAATGCTACTGTCTTGCATTCTTGTAAGACTTCTTTTACTTCACTGATATAAGAGCCAAAGCCCAAACTTTCTAGTGCTAGGGAAATGAAAATATGAAAAAGTGATAAAATACAACTTTTCCCTCACCTATGGAACATTAAGTTTTGTGGCTTTTTTTTTTTTAGAAAGGGGAGCTTGTTGTTTTCTAGTAATTTTGACCTATTTTATAGTTGCACAGTAATCATCGGACAGCTAAGGCAAAATATATTATCAACTTTCTTAATATCAGAATGCAAATGAGTTAAAATTTAAGGAACACTTCAAGGCACAGGCCTTAACTTTTCTTTTTCTTTCTAATTTTTTAAAAACCAAAGCATTTCCTGTGAGGGGAAAAAAAAGGGTCTGATGTAAGAACATGTGGTTTTAGTAAAAAAAAATTTTCCTATACCACTTAAAGTAAATCAGTCAATTAAATCACTTACTTTCTCAAAGAATACCAAAAAAAGCAAATATTTGGAATATATTTGTTAATAACATATATTGTGCCATTTGGCTTAGAGTAAGCTGGTAACAAATGCTCTTTCAGTAGGATAGGAAGAAAGAATAGATAAATTCTTCTTTTGTCTAATATACCAATAAGAAACTATTTTTAGCAAAGACACTCAAATTGCCAAGTTTACTGATGGAAATAACTTATGAAATTCAGCATTTATATTCAGCCAAAGTTTCTCTTGAAAATAAAACTTAACAGGAAACACTATAAAAACATTTGAATTCAAGTGATGTGGCAGAAAAACTGGGATAAAGGAGGACTATAAGGACAGAAGAAACATAAACAAAAAAAATTCTCTCCCTTTATTTTTTCACATTTAGAAAGAAAAATTTGTAAGAAAATGATGCACTCTCTAAATGAAGAAGGTACCAGAAAGACAATGCATAAAATATCCTTTTGGCTCAGAGTATTTAAAACTATATTTTAGAGTTTTTAATATGTTGATTAATGCCCCAAAGTCATATTGTTTTCTGAGCCAATGATGAAATAGAGGTGGTGAAAAACACAGTAAATGAACTTTATTCATTAGTTCTTACACTTTTTCAACAATTATGATGAACCAGACTGCCCTCAGTAAAGATGCCCTAAGTTCTAACTTTAGAAATTTGCTCTTCAGGAAGAATACCAAATATACTTTTAAAATCCCACATTCCCATGTAAACTGTGGTTTTTAAGACATTTGGAGTGATTTACAACTTTAATTATTTCATATGTTAAGTTGTTTTCAATCAACCTTCTTTAGAAATAATGCCGAAAAGCAGAGTGCTATTACTTGAATTTTAATTAAGGTAACTTACCAATTCCCCTCATCCCCAAAAAATTTCATTAAAACTTTATTCTGAGTTCTGTTTACCAAATTAACTACCACATAATTCCTGGCCTCAAGGAGCTTGGGGCACAGTGGAAACTTAAGTGAAGATTAGGCAGCCTGCACTTTTTCACTTGAATTAACAGACATTATTTTCTAAATGTCAATGCTAGAAGCCAAAGATTTTGTTTTACATTTACTCTTTTTTAAAGGCACAAACACAGCAGTGTATTTTCAGTAATACTGGCTGGGGACAATACCAAAAGAAACCAAGTAAATGACATCCTAAAGCAAACCTTATTTCCTTGGCCATACAACAAGGTCCTCCAGGATCTAGCCCCACCTACCTTTCCAGCTTTATTTCTGCCATTAAATCCCTGCATACTTCTCCTAAATCTGACCGCTCAATGTCTCCCAACAGGTACCAGTTCCCCAAATTCATGCTGACAGTAATTCATTCAAGGTACAGATCAAATTCCAACTTCAAATTAAGCTTGTTGGATCCTCCTAGACAGAACTATCTACCCTTTTTGAAATCAGATAGATTTAGAATTTGAAACTTGGTTGTCACTGTATTTGCATAACCTTGAGTATGTTGCTTAATATCTTTAAGCTTCAATTTTCCATCTCTAAAATGAGAGTAGCATCTATTTCACAGTGTCTTCCTATACCCAGAGGCGCTTCAGTGATTAAGCATGCAGATCCTAAGGTTGCCAGGGACTGACTCCCAGCTCTGCCTCATATTAGTTATGTGACTCTAGATGAGTTCCTTCATCTCTCTTCCTCTAAAACAAGAATAACAGTACCTACATTTCATCTGATCAAATGCGAATAAATGAATTAATGTAAACAAAGAGTTCAGAACAGAGGCTAGCTCACAGAAGGAGCAAAACTAAGTATTCACTATTAGACTTTTACTATTTTAAGGCCTGTAGGAATCAACAAGTAATTAATCTAAGGCGTTTAACATAGTGTCTAGCACGTAAGAGCCACTTAACTAATTTGGACTATGTATTATTCATCCTTATTTTTTCTCTTACATTTAAGAAAGTACCCTAGAAAGTGTACAGGACCTAAATAAATGTACAGCTATGTATTACCACACCATTAAATTCAAGCTGAATTAAGTATATTAAATTTTCAAAATTAACAAATCATACAATGGAGAGCCAGCTCTTCAAAATGTCATAAATTACTAGACTAGACATTAAGAAAATCCAGTCCAAATGACCTTAAATCATGGAAGGCTTGGGCTAAAAATTTAAAAAACAAAAAAACAAGACAAAAAAACCCCTCACTTTTAGACACATTTGAAGTTGAGAGCATGGCTTTCAAAAAAACTTGCAAGTAAGTCCAAAGTTAATATTTAATATTATTTAAAGAGCTGCTATGTATAAATACTGTACTCACACCAAAATGGTTCAACAAACGCAGCCACAAATTTAATTTAAAACTACACTGACTTTAATCCTCATTTTAATCACATCTGGCTAACAGATATGAATAACTGGATACAGTACCTTCTAAACAGGGCTATGCCACATCCTTTGTTATCATGTAGTAAGTAAGCATTCCCATTTTACACACAGGAGACTCTTCAAGGGGAAGGGAAACGGCTCCTGAGCAGGGCCATGAGTGAACAGTCGTGCAGGCTGTGCAGTGCACAGCAGTACCATACTGAGGAGAGCCTCTAACACTGCAAACCCATAGAGCTGTGGCACTTCTGGCAGACGGTAGGAAAGGTTTTTAAGGAAGAAGTGCCTTTTTCTAATTTGTACTAGGGGACTTTATGGACTATTGATGGTCCTGGCTCTAAGGATCTCAGAGTAAAGAGCCAAAATAAAATGAAACAAAATAAAAATAATAATAATACATTTTTTTAAAATTTGTGGGTAAAATAGACATATCACTTGTTTCTTAGAGGTCTGTCTGCTGCCCTCAGCCGTCTATCTTAAAATTGCACCCAGAAAAGTGCATGGCATATTAGAAAGAAAAATACTTAGCATGTCTTTTCAATTTAAAAGACAGACATTACCAAGACAGCCACTTACAAATTTTTTTTCTTAAAAAGTAAAAACTTTCACCCAACAAGAATTTCAATACAGGCTTATCTCATATTTTACAAAAAATTATGTATTCCTCAAAAGTTTTGTTATAATATGAATTTGTGTGAATTTACTTTATACTTCAAATGTATAATGCATGCTTTTCATTTAAAAAAACTAAAATACGTTATATATGAAATATAAAATAGCACTGTC